CAAATTCCATGGCAGTTTTAATGTTGAGCTGCTATAGTAAATAAACTGGGCATTCTTTATACTTGAATATGGAATACGTGCACAGGGAAAGGAAATAAACATTGCACTTTATAAGCACTGTATTGTTAAGTGGAAAATGCAATGTCTTAAATAAAACTGTATTTAATTGGCACCATACAATTGTCTGACTCCATGTATACAAGGGCAGCAGGCAGCATTTGGTATTTGAGGGCTGTGGATATTCTTTCGGCCTGGTGGTGAATCACCGAAAACAGTATTTGGATTGTCCAGTAGAGCAGTTTCACCAAACGCCTCTGGTCAGATTATGAATCCATATAGAGTGGTTTGGGTTTATGATTAGATGGGTTCATGATCACTACATATTACAGTAAAATGAAATTTGAGCTGCAGATAGGCTTTCCAGTGCTGGGGGAGCTGTTGCAGGGGAGGAAGCAATTGGAAAAGGGGGAATCTGATGTTTGCTTCGTGTAGCTTGCTAACAGTCTGGTTATCCGTTTCAGGGTTACTTAAGTTTGGGGATGGCCAATTGGAACAGTGGAATAGCCAGTCAGTGGAAGAAGTTTAAGCATCTGGAACTGACCAAGGACAGATGCAGCATATTCCTTATAAAGCCTTACATGTTCTCCAGGGGGAGATTGATCCTTTTTCTCAGCTTGGTCAGGGCTGGATGGTAACTTGGGGAATTAGCTGCAAACTTGAGGTGGGTGGGGTTTACCATAGAGTCCACTGTGAAAAGGAAAGGCCTGGAATATGCCAATTCTGATTTCATGTGACTTAGGCTAACCCTCAAAAGGACTTCAAAGCTTTCAGTACAATTTTGCTTGACAAATTTGCACTGGATTGCCTTTAGGTAAGTGGTTTTAGAGCAAAGCCCCACATTGTTGGCTTTGTTTGTGATGGGTGTGTTAGTAAACGTGTTGAGAACTTAGCTTTGACAGTAAATGGTGATGGGCTACGTGCCAGAAGTACTCGACATTGGAATTTGAGTCCCATAGAAGTCATGTGCGTGTCATTTGGTCGTGATGGGCCTCAGTCCTCAAGCCTGAAGCAAAATGCGTTAAAGGTGATCGTTAATATGTGGGTTAAAGGTGATAAATAGGGGCGCCTGGGTGGCTCCGTCTGTTGAGCGTCTG